GAGCAGGGCTGCCTGGGAGAGGACAGAGACCCAGCAGGCACAGGAGGGGAGAGATGCAGACACTGCAGAGGGAGTTCCTTGCTCTGCCACCTGGGCTACCTGGCTGCAGCCCACGCCTCTGCCCTCCACGCCTTGGCTCTGGCCCTCATGCCTGGGAGGTCACTCTCAGGGGCAGGCCTGCTGGCTGAGGATTCAGGGTACATTATTGCTCCAAGCTGATGGCCTGTTCCAGGGACAAAGCTGGCCCACCCAGGGGGTGCGGGGGAAGGCACCTGGACAGGCAGACACCCAAGAAGGCTGAAGATAGCTGGCCTGGGGCCCAGCCACCAGCAGCGAGTGGCCCCCTGAACATGTTAACATGGCGGAAATGGCCAAGGTCTCAAATATATTTTACTAATTTGTGTGTGAGAGAGAAACCACACAAAAGGTCACTCCATAGCCACAGGAAGCTGGTTGGCGCCCCTGGGCCCTCTGCAACTGGGCAAGTGACCCCTTGGGATGTCCTTCCGCAACTGGTAATGGGACCCACCACTCAGGTGGCTGAAGCTCACTGACTCATCATGGGTGCACCCATCCTCACGTCAGGAACTTGGCCGGAGTCCCACACGTGGGTGCCCCTCACCAGAGGCCCATCACGGAGAAACGGAGGCTCAGAAAGGCTAGAGGTTGGCAGAGGCTGGGCAGCCAGCTGGAGCCAGTGTCGGACTCCGCGACTCTTTGAAGCCTGTCTCCTCCACTGTAAAAGGGGTTTATAATTGTTTCCCCTCCCGGGAGTGGGGAGGCCACCAAGTGCAGTTATCAGCACCCTCTGGGCCTCAGACAGGGAAACCAGACAGGCCCTTGGACCGCCTGGCTGCCTCTCCGCCCCAGCTGCTCTGCCTCAGCCTCTTTCATCTGTCTTTAATTAGCCTCGCAGGCTGGAGTCACCACGCCCATTTTATAGTTGGGGAAACTGAGGCATGGAGAGGGAAGTGGTTTGGGGCTGCCGCCTGTGAGTCAGCGGAGGAGTCAACAGCCAGGCCCAGAGGAGCCCAGCTGGGCCTTCCGGCTGGACCTGTCTCCCCAGGTGGATGGCTGCCTGCCTCCGTGCCCCTCTCCGCATCGCAGGCTGGGCACCAGCTGCCCAGACAGCCTCCTCCTCCGCTCTGTCCACCCCACCCCAGACCCTGCCACTCCCCAATCTCCCGGATGCATGGGGATGGGGAGGGGCGAGTTGGCAGCGGGATGCACGGGGCTCCGGCCTGTTTCATCTTCAAAGCGGGTTAATTAGAGGCAGTGGCGAAAGGCAGGCAGGCAGGCGACGGGGGCTGGACGCCTGCGGATCTCGGCCCTGGAAACCCGAGGCCTGCGGGGCCCGGGCCCTGCTGTTCGCATCCAGTCCGCTGCGTCCCGGCC